CAAGAATCACTCTGGGCATATAGATTTCTTAGAATGTATATTTAATCACGATGATAAAACAGAGATAAAAAGGGGAGTATTACCTGTTGCAGGGCAGTGAACAAGGTGCTTCGATCACAGGTCTACACTCGAACAAAGACGATCTTGAACACACTCAAAACAAGAATCCCGACAGAGAGCGAAAAGATGAAATGTATTAGAGCAAATATTAATACTTATGAGAGTATGAGCTGCCCCAAAATTCTTCCCGAATGCGAGTATTTATAGGCGATTTAGAGCTAGGGTTGTGTTTTGGGCGGGATTTTTGATTTTTGAATCCTTTCATTACTTTGAATCCGAACGTTGACAAATATTGGACGACTTTCTGATCCTTCACGTCATTTGGATGAAGGAACAAGACTTGCTTCAAATGATACTTGAAATGGAAGAGCTTTAACTATGCTTTTGCTATGGGTATTCTACAATCATGAAAAAGGAAAGAGGAGATGGAGACGTATCTGGTGAAGCATTCTTTGCACGGGAATGGTGCAACCAACGTCTGTCAAATGGTGAAAGTACTCAAATGTTTGCTGGAAGAGGAAAGAGTGACCAGCTGCGCAGCACCAAAGGAAAACCCTAGCTTCTAATCGTATTGGGTTTATTTGGGAGTTGGGGTTTGGGCTGCTGAAATTGGGCGAAAATGGGCCATTCAAAGGCTAGATTTCGAACCAAATTTTAAAAGAAAATGGGCTGATTACTTGGTGTGAACATATTGGGCTTTTTTCTTTCTTCTTTTGAATTGTTTTGGACTTCTAACTTAATAACCAATACTTAAAATGTTATAAGATGACAACTAATAATTTACGTGAATAAAAAAAAATATCAATATTACGACTTTATGCTAGTATTAAATATAGATACAAGATATCGACGTATAATTAATTTAACAAAATATGAAACTCGAAATAAAAATGATGACAAATGATTATTTAAGATAAGAGGTATAAAAAATAATATTAGTAATTTTGATAATAAAACTAATAATTTTAGAAGATATATAGTTGTAGTAATAAAAATAGTTGTTAAAGGGATAATTTTATACGTTATTAAATTAGAAGCTCAAAAACAATAAATTAGAAGGAAGGAGGGTCAAAATCGGGTGTCAACACTTTGACCAAAATTGATAGGGAAAGTCCGGACAGTTTTAATGATTTCTGTAATCAATACAAAAGCTAAGGTGAAATTGAAGAATATGGAATACCTTTTATATAGAAATTTCTATGTCACTCATTTTCCTTTAATCTCATTCCAAGATTCTCCTCATAATATCTCATTATTTAGGTTTTATAACTCTATTTTTAGATATTTTATTTATTTTTAGACGAATCCCGCACCCGTATCCATATATGGATCCATATCCCCGAATCTTAAAAATTTGATCATGAAGGATCCAACTTCTGGATCTGCACCTGTATCGGGCACCCAAGTCTGAGCAACTTAGACTGTAGTTAATATAGACTTCAATCACAAACTACACAGATAACTCTAACTAAGCTCATTGTTAGGTGGAATGATAAAGACAGTCTATTCCTTTATAGATTAGGAACGAATCTTACAAGTTGAAACACACAAGACACAAACTCTTGATCAACAACTAAAGACGCACTTGATAACTCTATAAGGTCTCTTGCAGTTCTGGAAAGCTTGTGTTCTTCTTGAGAGAGACAAAAGGCACTCTTTGCTTGATGTATTTTGGTTGTAAGAACTGGTAGTTTCATGTCAATAAAGGCATATTATCCTCTGAACGAAACAACCTAGTGTCCTCCAATTGACTAAGAGCTCTGTCCTCTTTTCCCGTGCTCACCAACCGTACCAGTGTTGGCAGCTTTACAGCTGTTGCCCATTTGTCCAGGAACATGCGCAACTCATGGGACCAGGTGCCATTATTTGTTAGGATCATCAAAACAACAAAGTTGCATAACCCCTCAGTCTCAAAATATTCATTTGGCCCATGCGACAGCCCAACCCAGACTCGGTAAAGCCTCAAAAGGGCTGGCTTGATCCCATTTAATCACAATCCACCTCAACAATTAGCTAATCAAACTCAATGAAATAAGGAAAAAAAGAGACAGAGCTAAAAGGTATGAAGAAAGTACTTGACTATATGAACATCAACTGGATACAGTACCAAAAAAAAAAGAAGGAAAGTATGTCTCGTAAAATAGGATAGAGGGAGTAACGCATTCAGTTGTTGAAGAAAAGTACAGCTTTTGCTAAAAGTTAACAACAAAATAAGACTAGGCCAGTTCTACCTCTGTTCTTGAGGGAGAATATAGGTAAGGCTTGGGAGGCATTTGCAAAGAGTCTAGTTTCCCTTCTAACATTTCCACAACCTTGCTCATCGATGGTCGATTTGCAGGATCAGTCTGTATGCACCATAAACTCGCTATCACCATCTTTCTTGCACATTCATTCTCCTCTTCATTCATTATCCCGATTAGTTGAAGCTCTTCGTCTAGTTCAATTCGTCGATAGAGCCAATGTGGAAAGTAGATTTCACTCGTACGATCAACTCCAACATCAACATTTTTTCTTCCTCCAACCATCTCTAGGACCATCATTCCATAGCTATAGACGTCAGACTTGTGAGAGACACCTCCCAAGTTTCTACAAACAATTTCTGGAGCAATATAACCGATAGTCCCTCGTGGACCTAACATTGACACAATACTCTCTTGTTTCATGCACAATTTAGCAAGACCAAAATCAGAGATTTTAGGACAAAAATTGTCATCAAGAAGGATATTATGAGGCTTTATATCAAAATGCAAAATCCGAGTGTTACAACCACGGTGCAAGTACTCTAATCCTCGAGCAATGCCTAGTGCAATTTTGTATAATATTGGCCAACCTAATTGGCGAACACTATCGGATCTTTCCTCATAGATAAATTTTTCAAGAGATCCATTTGGCATGAACTCATATACAAGAGCTCTTTTGTGACCCTCAAAACAAAATCCCACAAGGCTCACGATGTTAACATGCGATGTTCTGCTAATACTTGCCACCTCGTTAATGAAATCTTCAGCACTGCCTTTTAGTTCATTCAGGACCTTCACTGCCACTTGACTCCCGTTATGCAAACTTCCTCTGTATACATTTCCAAATCCTCCTTGGCCTAGTTTGCTTCTGAAGCGACCGGTGATTCTTATGATGTCTGTATAATTGTATCTCTTTGGAGCATATGACCCATAGTTCTTCAGAAATGCTTCAATATTCTGGTGATCCTCGGCATTAGATTCCCAAAACCTGAGGCACTTGTACCGCAAAATCTTTTCTCTGAAGAAGAAGAGTAGAATCAATAGTCCAACAGTAAATAAACCTGTACCCGTTGAAAAAAATGAAGTCATGCACCATCAGAGAATATAGATTAAACATCGCAAGGAGAAAGAATGTCCTCTCAACTCCACTATCCGGACGTTGTGTAATCTAAAGTACTTGTCTCCCAATTTTTTTGAGATTTTACCACAAGGAAGAAGAAAATCTAAATGATATGCATGAAAATTCTGAAATAAGAAAGAACCCTGCAGTTAATGGATACTTAGCTACCTGCTCCCAGAGTCAGTCCCCACTTGCTTCTAGTCATTATTGCATCTAAAAAAAGAAGAAAAATACTATGAAATATTATCAATATTTGATACAAAAACGAGATAGGACTTTATGAAATATGAACTAGACCTTGAGCATGTGGATGATATGGATATGTACAGTGAAATTCGTTGGTTATATCAGTCTGGCATTGACCTCCGTCATAGTGACATTGGTAACAGTCCTCAGACAGTTTCCATTCTACTATAAAAGAGGCGCTTAACATATTGAACAAACCACCAGGATCTGATAACGAGCGGACTGGTAATCTGATAAGTGAACAGGTGGCAGGAAGATTGCCTGCTCGAACTTCTTCATCATCATCTCCGAGAAGCTTGTAATATATGCTGAAGCCTTTACAGCCATGGTACATTTTATAACCAGCAAAATGGTCATTCTTGTGGGTATTGTTTGGAGTGTTGCTACCAGTGATGTTACATTTGAAGAAGTTGAGATTATTCAAGATTTTGAAAGAAATATAAGGAGAGTCTGGAAGGGAGAACCTTTTGTTAAAAGCCCAGCATTTGTGTTGCCTCAACGTGGTTTGAAGCTTCGGATCCACGAGCCAAACTGTATAATTATATGGATTTCCTAAAGCATAGTACCAGTCTCCTCCAGGAAGCAGTTGGATTCTTGGATATGGTTTAGCATCACAACCAGAGATGGGAAGTATTCCACAGTCAGGTTGTGTGGAAAGAGAGAACGGAAAGCTCAGGTCAGTAAGATTTCCACATGAAAAGGACTTTGGACAAGTCGAATCATTTCTGCCCTCTGTCTGAACTAAGTAACTGATCAGAATAAAGCATATAAAAGAGGTGAAAGTCATATTAAATCCTCCCACTGATCAAGCAAAAGTCTCCTCCTATGTCAACAAGAGATAAAATTATGAATTCAGTTGTTCACTGCACTTGCATTTAATAGCATAGTGGATGTGGAAAAGTAGTAAAAACTTATATTAAGGGTTGTGACTTCAAAGACTTGAAGTCATCTAGCAATAACTAGACTACATTTTCAAGCCTAGTGAAAGAAAATGACTTGATATGTCTGGGATGACTTCATTTTAAGGTAACCCCTCAGTCTCAAAATATTCATTTGACCCATGGGCCAGCACATCCCAGCCTCAAAGGGCTGGCTTGATCCCATTTAATCACAATCCAACTCAACAATTAGCTAATCAAACTCAATGAAATAAGGAAAAAAGAGACAGCTAAAAGGGATGAAGGAAATACTTGATTATTTAAACTTCAACGGGATATAGTACAAAACAGATTACAAAGGAAAGTGTGTCTCATAAAATAGAACAGAGAAACTAGTAATAAATTCAGTTGTCGAAGAAAATACAGCTTTTGCTAAGAGTTAACAACAAAATAAGACTAGGCCAGTTCTACTTCCGATGAACCTACCTCTGTTCTTGAGGAAGAATATAGGTAAGGCTTTGGAGGAATTTGCAGAAAGTCTAGGTTCCCTTCTAACATTTCCACAACCTTGCTCATCGATGGTCGACTTGAGGGATCAGTCTGTATGCACCATAAACTCGCCAGCACCATCTTTCTTGCACATTCTTTCTCCTCTTCATTCATTATCCCAATTAATTGGAGCTCTTCATCTAGCTCAATTCGTCTATAGAGCCAATGTGGAAAGTAGATTTCACTCGTACGATCAACTCCAACATCAACATTTTTTCTTCCTCCTACCATCTCTAGGACCATCATTCCGTAGCTATAGACGTCAGACTTGTGAGAGACACCTCCCAAGTTTCTGCAAACGATTTCTGGAGCAATATAACCGATAGTCCCTCGTGCACCTAACATTGACACAATGCTCTCCTTTTTCATGCACAATTTGGCTAGTCCAAAGTCAGAGATCTTAGGACAAAAATCTTCATCAAGCAGGATATTATGAGGCTTTATATCAAAATGCAAAATCCGAGTGGTACAACCACGATGCAAGTACTCCAATCCTCGAGCAATGCCTAGTGCAATTTGGTATAGTATTGGCCAATCCAATTGGCGAATTCCATCGGATCTTTCCTCATAGATAAACTTTTCAAGAGATCCATTTGGCATGAATTCATAAATTAGAGCTCTTTTGCGACCCTCAAAGCAAAATCCCACAAGGCTCACAATGTTAACATGTGATGTCCTGCTAATACTCGCCACCTCGTTAATGAATTCTTCACCACTTCCTTTTAGCTCATTCAGGACCTTCACTGCCACATGTTTCCCATTCTGCAAATTTCCTCTGTATACATTACCGAATCCTCCTTGGCCTAGTTTGTTTTTGAACCGAGTGGTCATCTCTTTGACCTCTGAATAGGTGTATCTCTTTGGAGCATATGACCCATTGTTCTTCAGAAATGCTTCAATATTTCGGTGATCCTCAGTTTTAGATTCCCAAAACATGAGGCACTTGTACCAGAAAGTCTTTTTTCTAAAGCACAAGAGCAAAATCAAGATTCCAGCACAACAGCCCAAGAAAACTGCAACTGTGGAAAAAATTGAAGCCATTCACTAAGAAGATTCTTTATATCTTTGTTATTGATAAGGGTAGCCTTGATACAATAATAAGAGTTTCCTTCATATGACCAAGGAGATCACAAGCTCAAGCGGTGGAAAACACTACTTCTTGTTATATCATACTCATTGTAGAAATAAACCTTTAAATGCTAAAATCTTGTAATGTAACAACAAAATTGCAGACAAAATGTTAAAAAGATAGGTACCTGCAACAATCAGTTTCGCATATTTATGATGACCTGCTGCAATCACAGTAAAAATGAAAATGTAAGATGAACCAAGAAAAGAAAAGAACTAAAATCTTTAATGTGAACCATGAAAAAAGCTTCTCTTTACCATTGTTGGTATTGGCATTAGAACAAAGAAAGTTGTTAGTAGTATTATCTGTTTGACACCTTCCTCCTGTATAATAACACTGATTACACTCATCAGACACAGTCCATCCTAGTACAACTTCATCAGTTAACAGATGAAATAAGCCACTTCCGTTTGATTTTGCTTCTGAATTTGATGTCAAAGGCAACTGAATAAATGAACAGCTACTAGGAATTTCAGATACTTGATAATAATGGATGGAGATGTTATAGTATAATATGAAACCATCACAGACATTGTAACTTTGATAACTGCTGGAGTTGAAAAATTCTTCATTTCTACTCTTTTGGCTTCTGTTGCATTTGAACAAAGTGAGTGAGGGATCAAGGCTATATGTTATTGAAGGAGAAATAGCGATCGAGAAATTTTTATCAAAAGTCTCACAACTGTTCTTCTTCAAAAGTTCTCCAAGATTAGTGTACTTAAGTCTGATAAAAACATCAGCTTTTTCAAGAGCTAGATATTTCACCCCATTCAATTCAAGTATAGGATTTTCAGTATCTTCACAATAAACTTTGGACAATCCACAATCAAGTTCAGTGGATTTGTAGAAAGGAAAACTCAAATTTCTTAAGTTCCCACACTGGAATTCTTTAGTGCAGTTTGGGTGGGATGTGTTCTGTCCTTGAGCTGAATCAAAGCACCAAAAGTGAAACAAAATGAAGACGAAAAAACAAGAGAACATATCCATGATGAACCCTTTTGTACAAAGAAACATCAATAGCAGCAAAACATATAACTGGATTTATTTAAACTAAAATATTAAGATCTGAAACAATTCTTGATTTTCCAAAAAAGCAGAAGACTAAGAACTGTACTGCAAAGACTTGGGATTGGAAAAGTCTATGCATTAATTGTGAATTGGTGGGAAGCTAAGAATTTTTATTCAAAATGAATTTTTCTTTCTCCTTTGGGTCACAATCAAATGTAGCTAAAATCTTGTATCTATTCAGTTATGTAAAAATTATGTCCAAACAAATACATGGTGTGCATCTATTGATTTGGTTTAAATATCGAGTGCCTATGAACTCCTCCCAATAATTGATCTTATTATACTATTTTGGATACCGACCGACACTAGTGTTGCATTTGAAGAATTCAAGATATGAAGAAGCAAACAAAAGAAAAAAGACCAAGACATGTGGAATTCTCTCTTGCTAAAAGAAAAAGATAATACCTCAAGAAAAGGACGAGTAGATATTAACTTAATTGTTAAATTAAATTCGTTTTTGTCATTATTACAACAACAACAAACTCAGTGTAATCCCACAAGTGGAGTCTAGGAGGGTAATGTCAAGTGTGTAAGCAGACCTTGTCCCTACCTTGAGAAGGTAGATAGATTGTTTTCCATAGACCCTCCACTCAAACACGGATGAAAAAGATGACATAGCAACAAGCAAGAACAACAACAAGAAAATACAATAGTCAAAAATGAAGAATCAACTGATATAAAGAGTCAACAACATTATTAATATTATTACAATCCGAACTACTCCTAGTACACGCAGTTCTCCAGTCAGTCTTACACTGCAGGTTTCAAAATATGATATTTGAGGTCAAGGTTGTTAGTAGACTTTGAAATTTCTCAGAGAGCTAATGTAGATACAGATTAGAAACTCTGTGAAATGATGACATACAGAGGCAACAATTGTACTCATTGACTAAACTTGCTTCAGAATCAACTGACATTTCAGCACATTTTCCTTCACTATCTTTAAGTACAAAATAAGTAGTACTAGTGCAAATTTAATCTTTTAGATTAATCTCATAACTACTATCACACTTCTTCATTTGATAGAACCTATTTACATTATTGGCTGACATATAGTATGCTCTGATGCCAATGTTCAATAAATCCCTTTTTAATTAACTAAGATATGAGGCAGATATCAGAAAGAATTACTATAACAAAATTGTAGACACACTTGGCAACGATGCACGAGTTAAGTGACTTTAACACCACTTGGTCGTTTTCCTTCCATGGCATCCTTCTTATTACAACAGTCAGCACATAGAAATGGACCTTGCCAAGGCTTTGAGCTTGTCGAGAAAATTGAACCAGCATGTACTGATATGCCTTCACTTGCAGCAAGGTCGACCTGGCAAACAGCACAGATGAAGAGGCCGGACATTGATGGACCATTTGAATCCTCACTCCCCAATCTGCAATCCACATAATAACACGATGATCAAACTCTTCTTCTTGGAAAAATTCATAGAATATTGAGAAAAAAAAGTCAAGAATACGGAGATCCAGGTAGAGGGAAACATGCCAACCACCTCGTATCTATGTAAGGAGACCACATTTAGGCTAAATCTCAACTCTTATCAATGTAACAATATGGTTAAATAGTTATGGTATTTAACAATCAATCTTGTCTAATTTATTCAATTCAAAATCAACAGAAAACAAAAAGCTTCATGAAGTATTAAACTAAAGCAAGAAGGCTTCAAAGTTCAAGAGAATTATGACCTTTCAGCAAGAATTGCTGAGCCTTCTTCAAACAGTTCCTCTACAATGCCTACAGCTGACAGCTTTTTCGATAGTTTAGCAGCAGATATATGCGACTTTCTTCTGAAGAAAAGAGATCGGAGCTTGTTATACTTCTTGGGCGGAGCTGCAGGTTGTACAGTGTTATCAGGAGGTATTATGTCAACAACTATGCATGTTGTGTCATCCTTCAACCCTCGTGTCCTCAAAGCTTCCTAGACAATTAATGACATAAATGAGTTAAAGATATCATCCTAAACACTTGTTATAGATGCAAAGATTTGTGTGAGTTCCACTACCTTCACAACTTGCCTAGCAGCAAGCTCAGCAGGCAAGCCACGACAAGACTTGGCAGCCATGTCTGATGATACGGCATCCCAAACTCCATCAGATGCAACAATTAGCCTTCCACCTACAGTTGATAGCTTCACAATGTTGAAAAGGTTAGGGCGTGAGCCATTCATGAATTTACTTGTCCACAAGACATCAGATATAGAACAGAAAAGAGTACACCGGGATTTGGTAGGAGGGTGTAAATCTTAAGATGGTTTAAAAGAGAGTAAGAACAGAAAAGAAAAGCAAGGTATTACTTTCACTTGTTTGACAAATGGTATTGGAACAATGAATTCCCCTACATCCATATCTCCTATTGATCTTGAAAGGCATAAACCTCCTGGCCAACAGCGAAGAGGACCGATCTGCAGATGGAAAATGAAAGTTTTATTTCACACCCGTGATATGATATCGGAGATGCAAATTTACAATACACCTCAGTACCACCAAAAATACTAAGTCTTCCTACTTCGCCTCCACTTGATGTGACACGCTCCCTTCTGCAATTAATTAAGAGATGATGAACATTTTCTGCTCAACACACGTGATGGAATGATTTAGAAGATGGACACTTACTCCTCCGCATTTTCTTCAAGCCTATGATCTACAGTTAATTCTGAAACAGCACCACCCTGAGTATCCAAAATGCAGCGTGAATCTCCAACAGATGCAACTGTCACAGTCCATCTATCAACTATCACAAATGTAGCTGTAGTTCCAGATGTTTGTCCTGCAGTGACAAATGAAGTCATATAAAATTAGCACTATTGAAGCATAAAATGAAAATAACAGCTAGAAAGTGAAATGCAGAAAGCACAAATTTCATGCCTTTACTCTGGAACTCCTTGTCAGTTTTCACAAACCCTGCAACTAGTGCACGAGGCAAAGCATGAAGCCACTCATCCCTTCCGAGTCCACAAGGAATAGCACCCAAAACATGATTTAGTAAATGATCCCTTGAGAACACTGCTGCTGCTGTCCCATTATGTCCATCAAAGATCTGACCGAAAGAAGAATTACAATGGAAAATTAATCAACTGAAGAATCTAGCTGCAAGGACCATCATATCAGCTGAACCTCAAATAAAATTCGACCAGCTCACAATTTTGGTCCCAAAAGTAATATTGAACCATATCAATACTTAACAAGCTTGAATAAAATGGAAACACTATGGAACATACAAAACAAATACAGTGACAAGACCATCAACCTTCAGTCACTAGTCCAACTTTAAAAAACAATTCTACTGAATAAATCCAAATAATGATTGTAAATGGCCTATAGCTAGAATGGGTTACATCAGACTGGATTAATAGGTGTATGGAACCAATGCAAGAAAGACTGGAAATTTTACATGGAATCGATTGATTAAGATGACAGGTTTGTCTAGTAGAAAGATGGAGAAATGGATAAATGTATCAGGGTGCAATGAACCTGAAACTGAGTGAAATTGATACAAAAATTCACATATCGACCCCAATTAATGTGGTGAAAGATGGAGTTTGATGTAAAAAAAATGGAGAAATACATACCGAAAACACAGAGAAGGTAGATGAAGGATTGCCTTGAACTCTCTGGCAATCTGTCGTCATCAGATAATAATCCTCACCTTTCTTAGACTGAGCTGCACATCCATATCTTACAGTTGGCTTCTCCATTTTTTCATTCCACAATTCTCTGCTTATCAGTGCTGCTAATGGCACAAGATCATGATCAAATCTATGCCTCTCTTCTCTTGACCCCATTTTCGACCTACAAACTATTCCAAGTTAAATCTCCCTAATTCCACCACGACGTTGAAACTTATACCTTCTTATAGTTGAATCCAGAGAATATGAACCTCCCACGTTCTTCTTTTCTTTTAATCCTGAGATCACTTCTATTCTTAATCAGTCTATTCGATCCAACAAACATTTACTCCCTGACAACCTCAAAGTTCCCAAATAAGAACTATCCCAAAGCTTCAAACTTGAACCCCAAATCCAATCATACACCACATAAACAACATGAAACTTCAAGAACTTCCAAACAATTTCATTCCTGAAGTTTCGAACTTGATCCCCAATTCAACCACAAAAACACCTAGAACAAGTATAAAAACAACATGAAACTTCAAGAACCTCCTAACTCCATTCCCAAATAATAACTCTCCCAAAGTTTCAAACTTGATCCCCAAATCCAATCACACACAACAAAAACACCAGAACAAACATACAAACAACATGGAATTTCAAGAACCTCCAAACAGTTTCATTCCCCAAGAAGAACTCTCCCAAAGTTTCAAACTTGATCCCCCAATTCAACCACAAAAACACCTAGAACAAATGCATAAACAACATGGAACTTCACGAAGCTCCTAACACTTCCACTTCCAAGAACTCTCCCAAAGTTCCAAACTCGATCCCCGAATTCAACCACAAAAACACCTACAACAAATACATAAACAACATAAAACTTCAAGAACCTCCAAACAATTTCATTCCCAAATAAGAACCCTCCCAAAGTTTCAAACTTTATCCCCAAATCCAATCACACACAACAAAAACACCAAAACAAACACACAAACAACATGAAACTTCAAGAACCCCTTAACATTTTCATTCCCAAATAAGCACTCTCCCAAAGCTCAAAACTTGATCCCCAAATCCCATCACACCAAAACTTCAAGAATCTCCAAACAATTTCATTCCATTAAACTCCTGTTTTAAAATAGCCCAAATTCCACCACACACACACACCCCAAAACACTTGGATATTACCTTGTAAAGACAATGTTTTTTAACGTACTATGTTTTCCCCCACAAACAAAACCAAATTGCAGATCTGATAGTGACTACAGAGACAAAGAATTTCACTCCAAGTTAACAAATTTAATACAAAAAACTAAAAAACAAACAAAAAAACGCGGATTGCTGACAAGATATGAACTGTAATAAATCACCATCAAAATACCCATTACTTAAAAAAGTTTTTTTTTTTCCTCAAAATAAACAAACATTCTTGAATATTATATACATAAATCTCACATGAATAAACAAATGCTATCAAATTAAACAAAGATATAATCTTTTAAGAGTAATTAACAAAATAAATTACATAAAAATGTAATCTTTTTTCAAAAAACACTGACCCTTTTTTCTGTTGAAGAAAGACAATGGAAAGTGAAAGAGGTACTATGAACTTTTTTTTTGCGTGTATTTTCTGTTCGTTTTACCGACTTTCTGGTACAGATATAAGCTTTATTTATTTAACAAGACAAATTCAAGATTTAAACTTTATAATACGTGTATTTTTTAACTATTTTAGTAATGATAGATTATTTTTTAACAAAAAACGTAATAGAGGGTAAAACTAAATTCATTTTGAAGAATTCAACGATATATTTGGTCATTTGTCCTTAGGAAAAGCAAGATTTTAAGACATATTTATGGACTAATCGAATCTGAAAGGCTGAAACTAATGGCAAAGCTAGCAGATCGAACCTTAAAACGGAATCGTCATTGGTACATTAGTGTTTTTAATATAGTATAATAGCATGGATTAGCCACTTTTCACGTGTGGAACTTTATGTTATGTTTTGAAATTTCTTGAATAGAAGAAGTTGTAAATTTTGTAAAGCGTTTGTAATATAGTAATAATGTGGGGTAGTCACTTTTTACCTGTGAAGCCTTATTAAAATGTCTTGAAATTATGTAATAGGTGATTATTTTACAATTTCATAATGAAAATATTATTCCCTTTGTCTCATTTTATGTGAGGTAGTTTGACTCGGCACGGAGTTTAAGAAAGAAAATAAGACTTTTAAAACTTGTGGTCCAAAATGAATGATAGAAATTTATGTGGCTGTAAATCATTTAATTAAGAGTAAAATATGCATTTTATAGTTAAATTGTTACTTAATATAGAAATGTGTCATTTTTTTTGGGACTGACTAAAAAGAAAAGTAAGTCACATAAATTGTGACAGAGGGAGTAGTTATTTATATATATTTGATTCGAAGCGAGTACGAAATATCAAATTAAAAAAAATAGAATAAGGTAAACTATTGGTAAAAGGCATGTGATATGAAACATCAGACACGAGCAGAAGGATTTTGACACCTTTTACCATGTGCTTTTATTTTTAAAAAATAAAATAAGTTTAGAACAAAATGGAAATATAATTGTGGTTATTTGTATGATTGAAAATATTTTCTGAAATATAACCATTTTAAAAAAAACATATTCTCTAAATAAATAAAAAAATCTCCCTCATCCTTTTTAGCAAGAAAAGATATCCTAAAATGATTGTCGTTTTAGAAATTCAAAAAAAGAAATAATAATTGTTTCCAACTATATCATTGTATTGAAGAACTACTTCTAATAGCGTTCAATTCTTAAGAAACATTTAATAAATAAGGGTAAATTATACAAACAAACAAATAACAATAACATACTCTGTGTAAGCTTCATATCAATTATCAATTTTATTGGACGTGAAATAGGTTAAATCGATACTTTTTTGAAACAATCAATAAATTGAGCAAAAAGAAAGTGATGTTGATTTATTTTCTTCATAATTGTGGTTGTAGTTTGAAGCCTTAAGAAGCAAGTAGGATATGAAAAAGTGAATGTCATGGGACCAAAGGAATGTTAAAAGATTATTATTAGGTTAAATTCTAAGGAATAAGACTTAAAAAGCAAGTGGACATCCAATAAAAACTAAAGTATAGATCACAAGTCACAACCTCTCCATAAGTTATACTTTATGAGTATTGGTTCATTCTTAATCAGATGTCTCGAGTTTGAGTTTTAGTATGAAATTGTTTTTGTTAGAGAGAGTTTTACCTTTCAATTAATGTGGGACTTTTTGACGTGAACTCATGTTTAATCGGACTTCAATGCAGATACCGAACGTCGAATTAGAAAAAATATATTTTATAAACATATAAAAAAATATTCTGGTTTGATTAATTTGAATTAGCGTGGTATAAAAAACGCTTTCTAAGATTTGAACAGAGTGATTGAAAAAAAAATGTATATATTCATCTTACAATAATTCTTGATATGATAACAAATATTGAGTGTACTTTAATACTTAAAAGGAAGTTTACTTTACAAGACTAATAATGAAATAATTATGGCTTCCAATTGGTATTTATCCAATTGAAAATTGAAACCTATTATTTGCTACTCATTATAGGAATTATAAGTTATCATTGAATAATAATGGGAAAATGCATAAGTACCCCAGCCTATGCCCAAAATTCCTGAGATACACCTAACATTTACTAGAGTCCTATTATCACCCCCCCCCCCCCCGAACTTATTTTATATATAATTTTCTACCCCTTTTCGGCCTACGTGGCACTATCCTTGAAAAAATTGTCAACACGCGTTGGGCCTACAAGATAGTGTCACGTAGGCTGAAAAGGGGTAGAAAATTATATATAAAATAAGTTTGGGGGATAATAGGATCTTAGTAAAGGTTACGTGTGTCTCAGGAATTTTGGGCATAGACTGAGGGTACTTATGCATTTTCCCAATAATAATACATGTAAATACTTTTTAAAGTATACTCAATATATTTTCTTCAAGTGGAAGGACTTTGCCTAAAACTTTTTCAACATTAAAACAAGTTCATGTAGTTTTTTTTTCTCCTTCTATGATTTTAGAGCTATTGCCCTTTTATATGCTTGGAAAAGAAGCAAATCACATAGGAACTTTTAATACAAGATTAAATGGGAAAACTATGAATGAAATAAAAAATTATCATGTAAGGGGCATTTCCTACTTTAATGGATCTGATGTAAATTCAAATTAATCAGGCTTATGGTGAATTCTAGACATCAAAATAACTAATGCAAAAAACAAAACTAGGTGTTTTGCCTAATTAGAAGTCTCACGTTGAAGCTATGAGAATATAATTATTTTTATAGAAAGCACTTTACCGTTTACTTCCCATTTTGAAAGATACTCATGTTCAAATATTACAAAAAAACTTTTCCAAAATTATGTAAGCACTTTGAAATTGAACAAGAATTCTAAGATGTCAAGTCACAAAAATAAGTTGATGTAACAAGTATTTACTTTTCAATGCATTAATGAAGAGGAAAAAAAACAGGTGAGTGGATTTTAGTTGGAAAAATATAATAAGGTTTTTTTTTTAATTGAAATTGACTTGAGATGACTTTAGCCTAGACAATTGATGTTGTTACTCAACTTGGTGATTTGTGTGATTTCAAGTGCTTTAGTACATAGAAACATTTATATAACAAAATTGACATCCACCTAGTTTCTATACCCTTAAATTATAGTCATTATTTAGCAATGTATGATGTTTGTACGATGCACTATCGCGAAAACGATATTCAGTAATTATTTACAACTTAAATGGAAGAAAACGATCTTCCAAATTGAAGATTTCATGTGCTGATTTTTTGTGTTATATTTTACCGATCTTCTGGATAGGAAAGGAAGGAGCTGAGTAATGTACCATTATCATTACATTTGTCGTTGCAACATATTTGTAAAGCACAAATATGCTCTGGTGATTACGTCTTCTATGGTAATATTACTAAGAAATATATAGTAGTATGAATCTTTTTGCCAAGAATATATGTAATTAAATAATAAAAGTACATTTTTTCTAATAGGTTAAACTTTTAGATGAGATAGTCACACACTTCAATAAGGTATCAGAGATGATCACATAGTTCAACATCCAGGGAGGAAATTAATCTCTTACATCTATCAAAAAAAAAAATCTTTTTTTTCCATAACTATTAACACTATATGACATATATTTTCCACTTCTGCCTCCTGTTAATTCCAATAACTCTCAAGTGTTAACAGGCTGTTAAAGGTGTACATTTGGGCCCTACATGTCTGGGCCTGTTTGTTCCACAGTCCATTATCTAAATAAATGATCCAGTCCACTTGCAATGATATATTATAAAGTTGTTATGTAACCATTGAGCATCAAAATTCATTAGTCTGACTAATTTAAATTCGTAACGTAAAACTCGAGGCAAGCTCATTTATATATATAAAAAAGACTCATCACTACAATTTGTATTAAAATCATGGTGATTGCCATGATTTGTGGCATACTCATTCACTCGGGAACAACTTTAAATATGTTACGTTTGAAGTTGCATAGGACTTGTCAGGCCTAATTTTAGACACTATGTATCTAAAGTTATTTCGAAGTGGTTGCGCAAGTCGCAAAGTTATGATGTAATGTTATATACTCAAATGATTTTAAGCAATGTTTTTTGCAGTGTGCTTTTTATGAAGCGGTATCATGATTTAAACTTTATGAATTCTGAATTTTAGGACAATGAAGCGGAATCAAGAATTTTAGTAAGCAATGCATTGGTGTTTCCTCTCCCTCAGCACCACATTGACTTTCTTGCAATTGTTTCTCTTTAATACAAGCAAATTTTCATTCGATTCTAAATTAATATATTGTGATTTTGACGTTATCACTGACATTCTAGTTTAGCATACGGAGGGGCCTATGGTTGGCAGAAAGTAATCATACCTAAGTCAAGTTGGACAAAAATTATTGAGTTTAGCCAAACTTAAAGGTAAGGTAGCTTTCTTGCTCCGCACCTCCACCCCTAGTTGTGGGATGGTATCAGCTTTTTGAGTGACCATTTAAGAGATTAACTTGGGAAGTCTAGAAAATATGAATACCAAGTGAAGTCATCTTGATATTAGACAAGTACCTATTTTGTGTAGCCCATAAGTATGTGAAAAGGGAGAGAAAAAAAAAACACCACCCTCCTCCCGTAGTGATATCTTCTACATTTTCTTTATCCTGTGTGAATATGGACTATGTCTCAAAAGCATACATTTTTATTACAATTTCAAGCTTAGTCAAAGAGTTTATTGGTCAATAATTGCAACTTTTTCGTTAAAAACTTGACCCCGGTAAAGTTAACTGGTACTTGTTGCGAATGGAAGGTGATAGTTATCCCATGAAATTAATCAAGGTGCACGCAAGTTATGGGCGCTATGTTTGTCAAAAAAAAATAAAGCTTGACCCAGTCAAGTTTAATCTTGAAAATTCAACTTTCTAATAAATGAGGTAGATACAGAATATATAGACCAAATGAAGTCAACTTTTTGCTAACAAGAAGGTAAAAAAGGTAAAATCCAAGAAACCCCTCTTCTCTTTTTAGTATATTTTTCATTATCTACTTGTTTAGTTTGTATATTTTCAGCTGTTTTCAAGATTACAGATGAACCAAGAAAAAAGGTATCATTAAACCTTTGTGTTTTCTGTTTCATTCTGCAAATAGATAAATGTTGTGCTGTTGATCCACAGTTTGTAGTATGTAATAAATCAGTAAATTGTAGATATGGTCAAAGAATAAGCTTTCCATTTTATATTCAAGATGTTCAAGAATCTTATTGTGGGTACCCTGGATTCGGGCTAAATTGTAGTGAACAAGGGTTTCCTGTTGTACATATTACTGGAAACGAGTATATAGTTGAAGATATTTCATACCAAGATGATATTTTTCAGATTAAAAATTCAGTCTTTAACATTACTACAAGCAATGGTTGTGTTTCTGATATCAAGAACGTGTCACTCGATCATAGTGCTTTTAAGTTTGTCAAGGAATCAAGAATTTACTTGTTGTCAAAGTGTAATGGATCGATATCTGAGGATCTTTTGAAGCACAGGATTGGTTTTGGTTGTGGTGGAGAAAATGGGAATGATTGGGGTCTTGCAATGTTTGCTGAGGATGAAAGCTTTGAGTCTGCATTACAAGTGCGTAAAAATCATGTACTGGTACCAGTAGAAATGCTTGGAAATGAAGGGAGTAATCGAGTTATTGACTGTATATCAAGTAACTGCAGTGACTGTGCAGAAAGTGGAGGACGCTGCGGATTTGATACTAACAATTATCAATTCAAATGTTTCTGCACTGACAGACCTCATGCTTCGAGTTGCCCACCTACCAGTAAGCCCCTATCTAGCAGTTAATTTTCCAGTATAATTATGTGGAACCTCATCTTATGATTAGGCACCGTGCTTTAGGTTCTTTTCTTGTGATTACCAAGCGCACAAAAAAGTATCGTTTGATGATCTAGGCATCAAGATGCAGCTGCATTAAGCATTTGGATTATGTGTTAACCACAAAATTTTGTGCAGCCAACTTTTAAAAAAAGAAGATAAATATAAAAATTGGTGGTAGGGGAAGGGGAAATGCGGGAGGGGATTACAAGATGGGGAATCGAACACCAACAAGGTGAAAGTTCAGGTAGCCAACCAATTGAGGTACGAAGATTTCCCTGTGCAGCCAAGTTAATATTCTCGTAGCAGCTAATTACTTCTCTGATGAATGGTGTCGTGTTCTGATTAATTACCATGCATTTCAGGGTTTGACCTCTTGTCCTGTTAACCCTGTGGTTATGCCAGCAGTATTTTCTGTTTGTTATTTGTTGAAGTTTAGAGTTAGACCAATGACTGCAGCCTCCTTTTCTGCTATGTTCTCTATGTTTCATCGGCTTATCTTCAACTTAGTTCAATGAGAGAGTAAATCTTGTCCAAAAGAGTTTCGTTGAGGAAGAATTGGAACCATAAGTTATCTTTTCTCACCTCATGTTCTATTTTGAGTCGACAACAATATTACTTTGTACATTCAAATGCACAAATAACAGTACGCGGATTGATAGTTATTTTCAAAGTTATAAGAACTACTCGAGTTGTGATGCCTTTAGCTTATAGTGTCATAAACCAAGAATTGATCGAAGCCATAGTATTCAAGCTAGTGATCTTCCTGCAAATTCATCGTTCACCTTCAGAACCAAATTCTACTGATTTGTTTGATCTATTGACTCCTAGTTTCACATTAGATTGGGAATTGTCGTTAAATTATTCCAGCTGTCTTCATAGAGAAGGGCGATACCAAAGTGACATTGAAAACAACTTCTTTTACTCCAGAGGTATTGGATATAAGAAGCTTGTCAGTTGCTTGTGTATGTCTGGTTTCATTTTTGGAAAGGATTTAGATGTGTGTTGGTTGGTTCATTCCAAGATGTTTAATATGTCAACGTGAACGGAAGTGAATTGCTTTCACTCTTATTGTGACTAATTAATCTTTCATTTCTGTGTATTTGCAGAAGCAAAAAGAAATTTGGGACTGATACTAGGCACAGGTACATGTCTGTTATCTGTAATTAGACTTGCACAAAATCTCCTATTGCCTTGCAAATGTTGTAATTGTTTTGTTGCCTCAAAACCAGGATCATTCTGGTGCATGACTTTCCTTTTTTCCCCCACATTTGCAGTTTTCTCTTGCATCGGAGTCGTGATTTTGCTCTTCTGCTTGAGAAAAAAGATTTTCTGGCACAAAAATCTCAGGTTTTGGGAATCTATAGCTGAGGATCACCAAAATATTGAAGCATTTCTGAAGAACTCCGGATCATATGGTCCAAAAAGATACAGCTATACAGACATCAAGCGAATCACCAGTCACTTCAAAAACAAACTAGGGCAAGGAGGATTTGGTAATGTATACAGAGGAAGTTTGCGTAACGGGAGTCAAGTGGCAGTGAAGGTCCTGAATGAACTAAGTAGGACATCACATGTTAACATTGTGAGCCTTGTGGGATTTTGTTTTGAGGGTCACAAAAGAGCTCTTTTATATGAGTTCATGCCAAATGGATCTCTTGAAAAGTTTATTTATGAGGAAATATCTGACGGAGTTCGCCAGTTAGGCTGGCAAATATTGTATGAAATTGCATTAGGCATTGCTCGAGGATTGGAGTACTTGCACCGTGGTTGTAACACTCGGATTTTGCATTTTGATATAAAGCCTCATAATATCCTACTTGATGAGGATTTTTGTCCAAAGATCTCCGACTTTGGTCTTGCCAAACTATGCATAAAAAAGGAGAGTATCGTGTCAATGTTAGGTCCACGAGGTACTATAGGCTATATTGCTCCAGAAGTTGTTTGCAGAAACTTGGGAGGTGTCTCTCACAAGTCTGACGTCTATAGCTATGGAATGATGGTCCTAGAGATGGTTGGAGGAAGAAAGAATGTTGATGTTGGAGTTGATCGTACAAGTGAAATCTACTTCCCACATTGGCTCTATCGACGAATTGAACTAGACGAAGAGCTTCAACTAATCGGAATAATGAATGAAGAGGAGAACGAATGTGCAAGAAAGATGGTGATAGCAAGTTTGTGGTGCATACAGACTGATCCTGCAAATCGACCATCGATGAGCAAGGTTGTGGAAATGTTAGAAGGGAAACTAGACTCTTTGCAAATGCCTCCCAAGCCTTACCTATATTCTCCCTCAAGATCAGAGGTAGATTCATCAATAATAGAACTGACAACAACAACAACATACCCAGTATAGTCCCACAAGTGTGGCGTGAGAAGGGTAAAGTGTAGACAGACCTCATCTCTACTTTTGTACTTTTGTGGGGTAGAGAGTTTTTTTCGATAGACTCTCTACGCCATGGAACAAAAACGATTAATTCGTCCATCATTCCCAAGAATGTCAACAATTTTGTTACAATTCTTTCTGATTTCTTCTTCATCTCTTAGTTGAGTGTTTTATTCAGCATTGACATCAGAGCTTACTATATTGGTTCTGTCAAATGAAAAGTGTTCTCAGATACCCATTTTGAGATTCTATGAGACATTAAATGTGCACAAGAACTACTAATTTTGTATATAAAAACTATGAAGCAAAATGTTCTTGGAATCTCAGTGTATAGTGAAGAAAATTTAGTCTCTTAAAGTTCAATTCTTGTCTCTCTAGCATCTTATATCTAAAAATGTTAGAATATAATTGTATATAGTGTCCTACTTGGAAAAGGAGTTTGACTAAACGGAGAAAAAAGAGAAAAGGATGAATAACTAGAGGAGAAAAGTCCTTTAGATGTTGACAGAACTCTTTTGAAATATCTAAATACAATTCTGAGACTTTTCCACTCCCAATTATGTTAGAATAGTCTTCTTTATATGTGTGTTTTTGACCATTAACTCTTTTCACCTTTTCGCGAGTTTCATATCTCAACTATCCATTGTTTGCTTTTACCTACCTAAACTATCACTCCCTCTGTATTAAAACATACATTCAATGTTGAATTGGCCAACACACACCTGTTGTCAAGTAGGAATAATATTTGGCAAACTCAACATCGTGGTTTGTTTTTATACAAAGAAAGTGATATATAGTTTAGGTAGGTAAAAGGCATAATGGAAAGTTGATATATGAAACTCACAAAAAAGACGACTACGTCTAGATATTGATGCAAGACTTCCAAGTGTTTACACCAAGATGTAGTTACTTTGAGTTTTCCTTCACAGCACCTAATATACGTTTCTCACAAATTTTCCAAATCAACTATGCTTTAAAATGTAAGTGTAGAGTCTTCCTCTTCTTGAGATATTTAATATGGCTATTACTTCATTTGTAAGCTTTCTTCTATCTCTTCTTCTTATCTTAGTTCAGGCAAAGGGCAGAAATGTTTCAACTTGTCCAAAGTCATTTTCATGTGGAGATTTTACAGACATGAGCTTTCCTTTCTCTCTTTCCACACAACCTGATTGTGGAATGATGTCCATGTCTGGTTGTGATGCTAAACCATATCCAAAAATCCAACTAGTTCCTGGAGGAGAATGGTACTATGCTATAGACATGCATAATTCATCAGTTTGGCTTAGGGACCCGAAGCTTCAAACAACGTTGACACAACACAAGTGCCAGGCTTTTAACAAAAATTTCTCCCTTCCAAACTATCATTTTATGTCTTTCCATATGGTTAATATTCACAGCTTCTTCAAATGCATCAGTACCAGTAATAATGCCCGTAACATTACACACAAGAAGAACGATCATTTTGTCGGTTATAATATGTACAATGGCTGTGAAGGCTTTAACATATACTACAATCTTTCCAAAGGAGCAGACAATCTTCCTACCAACTGTTCACTTATCAGATTGCCAATCGACTCAAGTCATGGTGATTTGTTCGACGTGTTAGGTCCTGAATTTCTAGTAGAATGGGAACTGTCTGATGAATGTAATGAATGTCATGATGGTGGAGGTCAATGCCAAACTGACAAAACCAACAAATTTTCTTGTCACAAAGGTAGACATCTCCAAAATAATCTATACATTCAAGGTCAAGTTCATGCTTCTTAAGTCCCTTTCTTGTTTCATGCCGCATAAATAATATATTTCATATTATTGCCCCCTTCTGTAGATGCAAAAACACCTACAAGTACTACCGATCAAAGAAAAGAAACAACTGGAAGAAATATGGTGGGGCTGATTGTGGGAACAGGTAGTAAAATATGTTTAATTGCTGCCATGTATTCTTATTACAGAATATTCTCATCATTTTGTATTAGCTCAAAACCTTTCTCTAGTGATAAAGAAACAGAAAGAAAAGAATTAAATAGTTTTCGGTACACGAAATGTATGGATGTGGAGCTGAGGGAAATTTTTTTCTCTGATGGGTCATGATTTCATTTTTTTTCCCACAGGTGCAAGTTTGTCTACTGTTGGACTGTTGGTTTTACTACTCTTTTGCTTCAGAGAAAAAAAGTTGTGGTACAAATACCGCATCAGATTTTGGGAATCTAATGCTCAGGATCACCAAAGAGTTGAAGAATTCTTAAAGAACTACGGATCATACGCTCCAAACAGATACAATTATACAGACATCAAAAGAATCACCGGTCGCTTCAGAAACAAACTAGGCCAAGGAGGATTTGGTAATGTATACAGAGGAAGTTTGCGTAACGGGAGTGAAGTAGCAGTAAAGGTCCTGAATGAACTAAAAGGCAGTGGTGAAGATTTCATTAATGAAGTGGCAAGTATTAGCAGAACATCACATGTCAACATTGTGAGCCTTGTGGGATTTTGTTTTGAGGGTCACAAAAGAGCTCTTGTATATGAGTTCATGCCAAATGGATCTCTTGAAAAATTTATCTATGAGGAAAGATCCGATAGTGTTCGCCAATTAGGTTGGCCAATATTATACAAAATTGCACTAGGCATTGCTCGAGGATTAGAGTACTTGCACCGTGGTTGTAACACTCGGATTTTGCATTTTGATATAAAGCCTCATAATATCCTTCTTGATGACAATTTTTGTCCTAAAATCTCTGATTTTGGTCTTGCTAAATTGTGCATGAAACAAGAGAGTATTGTGTCAATGTTAGGTCCACGAGGGACTATCGGTTATATTGCTCCAGAAATTGTTTGTAGAAACTTGGGAGGTGTCTCTCACAAGTCTGACGTCTATAGCTATGGAATGATGGTCCTAGAGATGGTTGGAGGAAGAAAAAATGTTGATGTTGGAGTTGATCGTACGAGTGAAATCTACTTTCCACATTGGCTCTATCGACGAATTGAACTAGACGAAGAGCTTCAACTAATCGGGATAATGAATGAAGAGGAGAATGAATGTGCAAGAAAGATGGTGATAGCGAGTTTATGGTGCATACAGACTGATCCTGCAAATCGACCATCGATGAGCAAGGTTGTGGAAATGTTAGAAGGGAAACTAGACTCTTTGCAAATGCCTCCCAAGCCTTACCTATATTCTCCCTCAAGATCAGAGGTAGATTCATCAATAATAGAACTGACAACAACAACTTACCTAGTATAGTCCCACAAGTGGGGTGTGACTTCATTTCTTAGTTGTTTGTTTTATTGAACATTGGCATCAGAGCATACTATATAGGTTCTATCAAATGAAAAGTGTTCTCAGGTACCTCTTTCATAGTGGTTTTTAGACTGTATGAGACATTCAATGTGCACAAGAACTACTTATTTTGTATATAAATTCTTGGAATTTAGTGAAGAAAATTAAGTCTCTAAGTTCAATTCTTGCCTCTCTAGCATTTTATTTCTAAAAATGTTAGAATAGAACGGTATATAGTGTCCTACTTGGAAAAAGATTGTGATCAAACAGAGAAAAAAGAGAAAAGGATGCATAACTAGAGGAGAAAAGTCTTGAAATTATGTAATAGGTGATTATTTTACAATTTCATAATGAAAAATATTAGTTATTTTTATACATTTGATTAAAGCGAGCACGGAATATCAAATTTTTAAAAAATAGAATAAGGTAAATTATTGGTGAAAGGAATGTGATATGAAACATCAGACACGAGCAGAAGGATTTTGACACATTTTGCCATGTGCTTCCTAATAAAATCAGATTTTATTTTATTTTTAAAAAATAAAATAAGTTTAGAACAAAATGGAAATATAATTGTGGTTATTTGTATGATTGAAAATATTTTCTGAAATATAACCTTTTTTTTTTAAAAAAAAAAAAAAAACTCCTTCATCCTTTAGCAAGAAAAAAAATCCTAAAAGGATTGTTGTTTTAGAAATTTAAAATAAGAAATAATAATTGTTTCCAACTATACTATTGTATTGAAGAACTACTTCTTAATAGGCGTTCAATTCTTAAAAAACATCTAATAAATAAGGGTACTTTAGTAAATTATACAAACAAACAAATAACAATAACATACCCCGCGTAAGCTTTTGATATGTGTCTAAAGAGAATCGAACCCCTATTGAGATGGATTATCTAATTAAGCGTAAGCAAAATCCTTCATTGTCTCTAAACCAAGTGACTACTTCAACTTAGTAACTTATATATTCTATTTATTATATATAAACTTTATTGGACGTGAAATAAGTTAAAGCAATACTTTTTTGAAACAAAAAAAGTAGAATTTTATTCAATAAATTGAGCAAAAAGAAAGTGATGTTTGAATATTTTTTTTCATAATTGTGGTTGTAGTTTGAAGCCTTAAGAAGCAAGTAGGATATGAAAAAGTGAATGTCATGGGACCAAAGGAATGTTAAAAGATTATTATTAGGTTAAATTCTAAGGAATAAGACTTAAAAAAGCAAGTGGACATCCAATAAAAACCAAAGTATACATCACTAGTCACAACCTCTCCATAAATTATACTTTAATTAGACGTTTCGAGTTGGAGTTTTAGTATGAAATTGCTTTTGTTAGAGAGAGTTTTACCTTTTAATGTGGAAGTTTTTTTTACGTGAATTCAAGTTTTATCCAGCTCCAATACAGATACCAAACATCGAGTTTTTTTTTTTTTTTTACAAACATATATAAAGAATTTGCTGGTTTGACTAATTCAAATTTGTGTGGGTTAAAGAAACGCTTTCTAAGATTTGAACTGAGCGATTGAAAATAAAAATCGTATATATTTAATTCACCGTAATTCTTCATGGTGGCATGAGTATATTTTAATACTTAAAAGGAAGTTTACTTTACAAGACTAATAATGAAATAATTATGGCTTCCAATTGGTATATCCAATTGAAAATTGAAACCTATTATTTGCTACTCATTGTAGGAATTATAAGTTATTATTGAATAATAATACATGTATATACTTTTTAAAGTTTACTCTATTTTCTTTAAGTGGAAGGACTTTGCCTTAAGCTTTTTCAAGATTAAAGTAAGTGCTAGTAGTTTTGTTTTCCCTTCAATGATTTTTGAGCTATTTTCCTTTTATATGCTTGGAAAAGAAGCAAATCACATAGGAAATTTTAATACAAGATTAAATGGGAAAACCATGAATAAAATAAAAAATTATCATTTTATGGGCCATTTCCTGCTTTAATGGATCTTAATTATGTGGTGTAAATTCAAATTAATCAGGCGTCAAAAGTAAATTCCAAACATCAAAATAACAAATACAAAAAAACAAAACTAGGTGTTTTGCCTAATCAAAAGTCTCACGGTCAAGTCATGAGAATAAAATGAGAACACTTTACTTATAACTTTTCCAAAATTATGTAACTACTTAGAAATTGAACAAGAATACTAAGATGTCAAAGTCACAAAAATAAGTTGATGTAACAAGCATTTACTTTTCAATGCATTAATGAAAGAGGAAAAAAAAAAACAGGTGAGTGGATTTTAGTTGAAAAAAATATAATAAGTTTTTTTTTATATTGAAAATGACTTGAGATGACTTTGGCCTAGACAATTGATGTTGTTACTCAACTTGGTGATTTGTGTGATTTCAAGTGCTTCAATATATAGAAGCATTTATATAACAAAATTGACATCTACCTAGTTTCTATACCCTTAAATTTTAGTCCATTATTTAGCAATGTATGATGTTTGTACGATGCACTATCGAAAAAACGATATTCAGTAATTATTTACAACTTAAATGGAAGAAAACGATCTTCCAAATTGAAGACTTCATGTGCTGATTTTTTGTGTTATATTTTACCGATCTTCTGGATATGAAAGGAAGGAGCTGAGTAATGTACCATTATCATTGCATTTGTTGCCACATATTTGTAAAGCACAAATATGCTTTGGTGATAACGTCTTCTATGGTAATATCACTAAGAAATATAAAGTTGTATATATAGATCTTTTTGTTGAGAATATAATTAAATAATAAAAGTACGTTTTTTCTAACAATTTAAACTTTTAGAAGAGATAGTCACACTTTAATATGATATCAGAGATGATCACACAGTTCAACATCTAGGGAGGAAATTAATTTTTCTTACATCTATCAATTTTTTTTATTTTTTTTTCATAACTATTAACACTATGACATATATTTTCCACTTCTGCCTCTTGTTAATTCCAATAACTCTTTAACAGGCCGTTAAAGATGTAGATTTGGGCCCTACATGTCTGGGCCTGTTTGTTCCACAGTCCATTATCTAAATAAATGATCCAGTCCACTTGCAATGATATATTATAAAGTTGTTAAGTCCATTATCTAAATAAATGATCCAGTCCACTAGCAATGATATATTATAAAGTCCATTGAGCATCGAAATTCATTAGTCTGACTAATTTGAATTCGTACCTAAAACTCGAGACAATCTCATTTATCAAAAAAAAAGAAAGAAGCAATTTTATGATTTGAACTTTATGAATTCTGAATTTTAGGACAATGAAGGAGAATATAATCAAAAATTTCAGCAAGCAATGCATTGGTGTTTCCTCTCCCTCAGCACCATGTTGGCTTTCTTGCAATTGTTTCTCTTTAATACAAGCAAATTTTCATTCGATTCTAAGTTAATATATTATGATTTTGACGTTGTCACGGACAGTCTAGTCTAGCATACGGAGGGGCCTATACGATTGGCAGAAAGTAATCACACCCAAGTCGGTTACTTTGCCTCATGTCACCCTTCCAAGACATCTCAGGAAGGCGCCACGTGACAGTTGGACTAAAACTATTGAGTTTAGCCAAACTTATAGGTAAGGTAGCTTTCTAGCTCCGCGCCTCCACCCCTGGTTGTGGGATGGAATCAACTTTTTGAGTGACCATTTAAGAGATTAACTCAGAAAGTCAATAGAATGTGAATACCAAGTGAAGTCATCTTGATATTAGACAAGTACCTATTTTATGTAGCCCACAAGTATGTGAAAAGAGATAAAAAATAATATAAAAGAACAACATCCTCCCCCCTTGGTGATTTCTTCTTCATTTTCTTTATCCTGTGTGAATATGGACTATGTCTCAAAAGCATACATTTTTATTACAATTTCAAGCTTAGTCAAAGAGTTTATTGGTCAGTAATTGCAACTTCTTCGTTAAAAACTTGACCCCGGTAGAGTTATCTAGTACTTGTTGCTAATGGGAGGTGACAAGTATCACATGGAATTAGTCAAGGTGCACGCAAGTTGTATGGGCGCCATGCTTGTCAAACAAAAAGAAGCTTGACCCCAGTCAAATTGTAGAGACCAAATGAAGTCAACTTTTTGCTAACAAGAAGGTAAAATCCAAGAAACCCCTCTTCTCTCTTTAGTATATTTTTCATTATCTACTTGTGTAGTAGCATATTTTTCAGTTATTTAAGATTAAAGATGAACCAAGAAAAAAGGTATATCTTGATAGCATCATTAAACCTTTGTGTTTTCTGCTTCATTCTGCAACTAGATAAATGTTTTGCTGTTGATCCACAGTTTGTAGTATGTAATAAACCAGTAAATTGTAGATATGGTCCAAGAATAAGCTTTCCATTTTATATAGAAGATGTTCAAGAATCTTATTGTGGGTACCCTGGATTTGGGCTAAATTGTAGTGAACAAGGGTTTCCTGTTGTGCATATTACTGGAAATGAGTATATAGTTGAAGATATAAAATATCAAGATCAGACTTTTCAGCTTAAAAATTCAGTCTTTAACAGCACTACAAGGAATGGTTGTGTTTCTGATATCAAGAACGTGTCGCTCGATAATCGCCCTTTTCAGTTTGTTAAGAAATCGAAAATTTACTTGCTGTCAAAGTGTAATGGATCGATATCCCAGAATCTTTCGACGCACATGATTGGTTTTGGTTGTAGTGGAGAAAATGGGAATGATTGGGGTCTTGCAATGTTTGCTGAGGATGAGAGCTTTGAGTCTGCATTACAAGTGTGTGAAAAACATGTAATGGCACCAGTAGAAATGCTTGGAGATGAGGGAAGTAATCGAGATGTTGACTATCTAGTGCTTTTGAGAAGGGGGTTTAGATTGAAATGGACTGCTATGAATTGCAGTGAATGTGCAGAAAGTGGAGGACATTGCGGATTTGATGTTAACAATTATCAATTCAAATGTTTCTGCACTGACAGGCCTCATGCTTTGAGTTGCCCACCTACAAGTAAGCCCCTATCTAGCAGTTAATTTTCCAGTATAATTATGCGGAACCTCATCTTATGATTAGGCACCGTGCTTTAGGTTCTTTTCTTGTGATTACCATGCGCACAAAAAAGTATCGTTTGATGATCTAGGCATCAAGATGCAGCTGCATTAAGCATTTGGATTATGTGTTAACGACAAAATTTCGTGCAGCCAACTTTTAAAAAAAGAAGATAAATATAAAAATTGGTGGTAGGGGAAGGGGAAATGCGGGAGGGGATTACAAGATGGGGAATCGAACACCAACAAGGTGAAACTTCTGGTAGCCAACCAATTGAGGTACGAAGATTTCCCTGTGCAGCCAAGTTAATATTCTCGTAGCAGCTAATTACTTCTCTGATGAATGGTGCCTTGTTCTGATTAATTACCATGCATTTCAGGGTTTGACCTCTTGTCCTGTTAACCCTGTGGTTATGCCAGCAGTATTTTCTGCTCATTACTTGTTGAAGTTTAGAGTTAGACCTTTTCTGCCATGTTCTCTATGTTACATCGGCTTATCTTCAACTTAGTTCAATTAGAGAGTAAATCTTGTCCAAAAGAGTTTCGTTGTGGAAGAATTGGAACCATAAGTTATCTTTTCCCACCTCACGTTCTATTCTGAGTCGACAACAATATTACTTTGTACATTCAAATGCACAAATAACAGTACGCGGATTGATAGTTATTTTCAAAGTTATAAGAACTACTCGAGTTGTGATGCCTTTAGCTTATAGTGTCATAATCCAAGAACAGATCAAAGACATAGTATTCCAGCTAGCGATCTTCCTGCAAATTCATCGTTCACCTTCAGAACCAAATTCTACTGATTTGCTGGATCTATTGACTCCTAGTTTCACATTAGATTGGGAATTGTCGTTAAATTATTCCAGCTGTCTTCATAGAGAAGGGCGATACCAAAGTGACATTGAAAACAACTTCTTTTGCTCCAGAGGTCAGTTGCTTGTGTATGTCTGGTTTCATTTTTGGAAAGGATTTAGATGTGTGTTGGTTGGTTAATTCCAAGATGTTTAATATGTCAACGTGAACGAAAGTGAATTGCTTTCACTCTTATTGTGACTAATTAATCTTTCATTTCTGTGTATTTGCAGAAGCAAAAAGTAACTTGGGACTGATACTAGGCACAGGTACATGTCTGTTATCTGTAATTAGACTTGCACAAAAAATCTCCTATTGCCTTGCAAATGTTGTAATTGTTGTGTTGCCTCAAAACCAGGCTCTTTCCGGTGCATGACTTTCCTTTTTCCCCCACATTTGCAGTTTTCTCTTGCATCGGAGTCGTGATTTTGCTCTTCTGCTTGAGAAAAAAGATTTTCTGGCACAGAAATATCAGGTTTTGGGAATCTATAGCTGAGGATCAACGAAATATTGAAGCATTTCTGAAGAACTCTGGGTCATATGCTCCAAAAAGATACAGCTATGCAGACATCAAACGAATCACCAGTCACTTTAAAAACAAACTAGGCCAAGGAGGATTTGGTAATGTATACAGAGGAAGTTTGCGTAACGGGAGTCAAGTGGCAGTGAAGGTCCTGAATGAACTAAAAGGCAGTGGTGAAGATTTCATTAATGAGGTAGCAAGTATTAGCAGGACATCACATGTTAACATTGTGTGCCTTGTGGGATTTTGTTTTGAGGGTCACAAAAGAGCTCTTATTTATGAATTCATGCCAAATGGATCTCTTGAAAAGTTTATCTATGATGAAAGATCTGACGGAGTTCGCCAATTAGGCTGGCCAATATTATATGAAATCTCACTAGGCATTGCTCAAGGATTGGAGTACTTGCACCGTGGCTGTAACACTCGGATTTTGCATTTTGATATAAAGCCTCATAATATCCTACTAGATGAGGATTTTTGTCCAAAGATCTCCGACTTTGGTCTTGCCAAACTATGCATAAAAAAGGAGAGTATCGTGTCAATGTTAGGTCCACGAGGTACTATAGGCTATATTGCTCCAGAAGTTGTTTGCAGAAACTTGGGAGGTGTCTCTCACAAGTCTGATGTCTATAGCTATGGAATGATGGTCCTAGAGATGGTTGGAGGAAGAAAGAATGTTGATGTTGGAGTTGATCGTACGAGTGAAATCTACTTTCCACATTGGCCCTATCGACGAATAGAACTAGATGAAGAGCTTCAACTAATCGGGATAATGAATGAAGAGGAGAACGAATGTGCAAGAAAGATGGTGATAGCAAGTTTGTGGTGCATACAGACTGATCCGGCAAATCGGCCCTCGATGAGCAAGGTTGTGGAAATGTTAGAAGGGAAACTAGACTCTTTGCAAATGCCTCCCAAGCCTTATCTATATTCTCCCTCAAGATCAGAGGTAGATTCATCAATAATAGAACTGACAACAACAACAACGTAACCAGTATAGTCCCACAAGTGAGGTGTGACTTCATTTCTTAGTTGTGTTTTATTGAACATTGGCATCAGAGCATACTATATAGGTTCTGTCAAATGAAAAGTGTTCTCAGGTACCTCTTTCATAGTGGTTTTCAGATTGTATAGACATTCAATGTGCACAAGAACTACATATTTTGTATATAAAGACTATGAAGCAAAATATTCTTGGAATTTCATTGTATAGTGAAGAAAATTAAGTCTCTTAGTTCAATTCTTGTCTCTCTAGCATTTTATGTCTAAAAATGTTAGAATAGTACGGTATATAGTGTCCTACTTGGAAAAAGATTGTGACCAAACGGAGAAAAAAGAGAAAAGGATGCATAACTAGAGGAGAAAAGTCCTTTAGATGTTGACAGAGCTCTTTGGAAATATCTATATACTAGTCTTTGGGAACGTGCTTTCCACGTTTGTCCCATATTATTATTATTATAAAACTTCTTTATATTTTAAAAATTGAATTATAAAATAGAATTTGTTGAAATTTAAAATATTAATTCACTTTCCATGTTTTCTGATAGGAACACTTAATAGTTTAAATGTGAACATAAGCAAGGTTGGTTATGTTTTCAATTGCTTCTCATATTAAAACTTATGTCATGACTTTCAGAAATTGGGAATTCCTCCTCTTATAGTCGTATGCATATCAAGAAGTTGTTGTCGAATGAAAGTAGTATTTTGTAAATGTTGAACAAAAAGTTTATCAACATATGTCTTCTTTAATATGGCTAGAATATCATTGTCAATTTTATAGTATACACCTAGTAAAAAAGTAGTAATTATATTATGACGAAGATAGTTAATTATTATTGACATCAAAAAAATTGAATCAATATATATTAATTATCATTGCACCTACATGTATCCTTTCTTTGATTCAAGATTATGATTTCTTTAACATAAGAATATTATTTGTATGGTTGAAATATAATCATATTACGAAATATAATAAGAATCAATCTCTCTATTCAAGAACATTTTCTTTCATATGAAAATTTGACATAAGAGTATTACTTGCATTGTTTAAGTATAATTGCATTACGAAATATAATAAGAATCGGTCCTTAGTAAACAACAAGGGACTTGATATAAAAAATTAAAATATGTAAAAGATGTTAAAAAGTATAAGATCTAAATATCCTGAAAATTATACCGACAATTTCTCAAATCTCAAAAATCTTATTTATATTTCACGTCTCCTACAAACTATATTTTATGTATGTGAAATAATAAAATTGATAAAAAGAGAGTTGCAAATAGCATATCCATTATGTACCTGATGATGAGAAGTGAAGAGCACACAGTTGCCAAATAAAATCTGAAATGTAGAGAAATAAATAAGAATTAGTTAGCAAACTCAAGGAAATCTTCATATATTAAACATATATTGTTGATAACTAAAATGAGCACACGAGGAATACAGTAGTTACCAATCAACAATATATATTTATATATTCAAACTTTTATGGCATATAGCTGCTAATCTATATATTATATAAAGCTTAAAGATGAAAGATTAATGTGACTTGAGTTGTAGAAAATCACTGCACATGCACTATATATTACTCCAATTCTATTTGACAAGGAACATGAAAAGTTCACATAACTTTTGGAAGCTCAAGGGAAAAAATAGTAAATGTGAGATATGAAATAGTAGGATTGTAAATTGAGTTCAAGTAATCTGTATTAGGTTAATTAATGGGGAGATGAAAGATTTCTATCAATTAAATGTAGTTAAACTACTGATAAATAACTTTTAATATTTTATTATTTACATGTTTTATAACATTTTTATTTAGTCTAGGGGCAAAATGGTAATCCAACTTTGAATGTTGGAGCTTCCCACTTATAATATATATATATATATATATATATATATATTCTGAGACTTTTCCACTCCCAAAAATGTTAGAATAGACCATTAACTGTTATCACCTTTTTACGAGTTTCATACCTCAATTATCTATTGTTCACTTTTACCTACCTAAACTATCACTGCCTCTGTATTAAAACATACCTTCGATGTTGAATTGGCCTACACACGCCTGTTGTCGAGTCGGAATAATATTTGGCAAACTCAGCATCGTGGTGTATTTTAATACAAAGAGAGTGATATATAGTTTAAGTAGGTAAATGGAACAATTGATAGTTGATATATGAAACTAACAAAAAAAATGATAGTTGTCTCTTCACTAGGCTTGACGAGTAAGTCTAAATATTGATGCAAGACTTCAAGTCTTTACACCAAGATATACGTTTCTCACAAATTGTCCAAATCAACTCTGCTTTTAAATGTAAGTGTAGTGAACAAATGAATTCATAATATAGTCTTCCTCTTCTTGAGATATTTATATGGCTATCACTTCATTTGCAAGGTTTCTTCTATCACTTCTTCTTATCTTAGTTCAGGCAAAGGGCAGAAATGTTTCAACTTGTCCAAAGTCATTTTCATGTGGAAATTTTACTGACCTGAGATTTCCTTACTCTCTTCCCACACAACCCGATTGTGGAATAATATTCATGTCTGGTTGTGATGCTAAACCATTTCCAAGAATCCAACTAGTTCCTGGAGGAGAATGGTACTATGTTTTAAAGATGCATGATTCATCAGTTTGGCTAGGGGACCCGAAGCTTCAAACAACGTTGACACAACACAAGTGCCAGGCGCTTAACAAAACTTTCTCCCTTCCATACTCTCCTTCTATTTCTTTCAATATGATTAATCTTATAAACATCTTCAAATGCATCAGTAGCAGTAATAATGTCCATAACATTACGCAGAAGAAGAACGATCATTTTGTGGGTTATAATATGTACAGTGGCCGTGAAGGCTTTAGCATATACTACAAGCTTTCCGATGAATACATAGGAGCAGACAATATTCCTACCAACTGTTCACTTATCAGATTGCCAATTCACTCAAAAATAGGTGATTTGTTCGACGTGTTAGGTCCCAAATTTCTAGTAGAATGGAAACTGTCTGATGAATGTAATGAATGTCATTTTGGTGGAGGTCAATGCCAGCCTGATAAAACCAACAACTTTTCTTGTCACAAAGGTAGACATATCCATATATGTACTTAATTTTCAAGGTCAAGTTAACATTATCCCCAGTTTTAGATAGTTTTTTTCTTCTACCGAAAATTGAGGTAGGGGCAGGGGCGGAGCCATGTGGGAGCAAACTTGTCTCCATTCCAAATTAAACACTTATTCTCCTAATAACATTAGTAGACTTTTTCGCTTAATCGGATATATGTTTTATAATCCGATTCTCACAAGTACTGCTGATGTTGCAGATGTTAGCACAAGTATTGGTGTTGCAAATGATAGCACTCTATCAGCAGGGACATCAAAAAGGGGTTCCCTTCGGATAATCTGGTTCGTGGTGGCCACAGGTAACTTTTCTGCTTTTTTCACAAAAAAGGGAATAGGACAGTGAAGAAAAATATGTCAAATAATAAGGAAAGAGAATTCAGGGAAATGAAACAGTAACAACAACAAAATAATATGGTAACTAAAAAAGAAAATACATGAATAAGACTAATACTACGACAAGCACGGAGGCCCCCACCAAACCTAAACCCACCAAAAAGAGAATCAGAGCTCAACTAACAACTATCCTTCTAAGTTCTACCCTAATCTGTATACTCTCCTATCTAAGGACTTTCAGAATGAATTTAACTTAAGAGAAGATGCACGGATACCCCAGTGTGGAGGTAGAGAGACTGTCGTTTCTTGTTTCAAGATTTTTGTTTCTATTTGTCGCTTCTTTGTACTTCGATTAGCTAATGTTGAAAATGTATGGTTATGTTTTGTATAGTATTTTGCTAAGGTTTCTTCATTTTTATTATTTCCATTTCCGAACTGCTTTACTTTTTTATCAGCCAACGGCCTCTATTGGGAACAGTCTGTCTACCTCTTAGGTAGGGGTAAGGTTTGCGTATACCTACCCTCCCCTAACCCTACTTTGTGGGATTATACTGGCTATTATGTTGTTGTTGTAGTCCCTGATGGGGCATGGCTTCATTTTTTTCCCACAGGTGCAAGTCTGTTTACTATTGGGCTGTTGGTTTTACTCTTCTGCTTCAAAAAAGAGATTTTGTGGTACAAATACATTAGGTTTTGGGAATCTAATGCTGAGGATCACCAAAAAGTTGAAAAATTCTTAAAGAACTATGGATCATATGCTCCAAACAGATACAATTATACAGACATCAAAAGAATCACCGGTCACTTCAGAAACAAACTAGGCCATGGAGGATTTGGTAATGTATACAGAGGAAGTTTGCGTAACGGGAGTGAAGTAGCAGTAAAGGTCCTGAATGAACTAAAAGGCAGTGGTGAAGATTTCATTAACGAAGTGGCAAGTATTAGCAGAACATCACATGTTAACATTGTGACCCTTGTGGGATTTTGTTTTGAAGGTCACAAAAGAGCTCTTGTATATGAGTTCATGCCAAATGGATCTCTTGAAAAGTTTATCTATGAGGAAAGATCTGACAATGTTCGCCAATTAGGTTGGCCAATATTA